TTTTTTTTTTTTTTTTTTTTTTTTTCTTTTTCGTACGAGCCAGTATGAAAAGTGCTACTATTATTTTATAACAATGACGCATACACGTTTCCAAGCACGTTCTTGTTTAATATTTCTTGTGCCAACGCGATGACGACGACGACGACGACGACGACGACGATGATGATGATGATGATGATAACAACGACGACGTTCATTGAAAATTTCGCTTGTTGGGGACGACTAGGATCGTAAATAATACATGCGATCGCTTGTGTGTATCTACGAGAAAACAAGAGCCCGAACTTATATAGGAAGGTATTGGCAGTGGTATTGACGATCGATCTTTGATCACGCAGACGTTGCTTGCTCTATAAAGTAATACGCGAAAAATCCAGGTGAAACTAAATCCGACGCGACCAATAAAGATCGATCGGCGGATGCTTATTGTGTTTTCTCCACGTTTCTCGACCAGCGGATGGATGAGCCTTTATATGTTATATACACGTTACAAAAAGAAAGGAGAAATAATAAAAAAGAAAAAAGAAGAAGAAGAAGAAGAAGAAGAAACGAATCTATTTTCTTTCTCTCGTAAAAATTAATCGAAAGCATGTATATTCTACGAAAAGAGAAAGTAGAAAAAAAAAGAAAAAAAACACAAAATAGAAAGGAACAAAGATTCGTAATCGTAAAAAAAAAAAAAGTAAAAATAAAAGAAAAAAAAGGAATCGTGAAAGATTATACTATTGTCTACACGTAATATCGTGCAACGTTTCACGAGACCATTTTGTTCATTTTCACTTCTTGTAACGCATTGTTCATTTTTTCTTTTTTATTAATATTTTAGCTGACTACTTCTTACTACGCGCGTGGTAGTATTTTTTTTTCCCTTTTCCTTCTTGTTCTCTCTTAGTTAGCGTTACAACGTATTATAATATATATATAGACGCATTTTATGTATATATATCTATATATATTTATATTTATCTATAGCGTTCATCAACGTGAACCTCAATACACTTAAATCCCATATCACAAGATATCTTGTTCAGTATCACGATTTAATTACCTCTGTGTTCATTGCGTTTATTTGCCCCCCACCCATCCCCATTCGTTTCTTTTATCAAGCTTTTCAACTCCCATTTTTTTTTCTTTTTTTCACTTAAATTCATCGTTGGCTAATTTATTGCCATCTTTTCTTATTTTTCGCCTCGATGGATTCTCTTTTTTCCCCTCCCCTCCCTTGTCATCGATGCATCACATCCTTGCTTATTACGCCATCGTTCTCTCCTTGTGATAGTCACTCATCCATATCTCGCACGCGCCTCCTCCCGTTTCACAACGTTTCCTTTCAATAATACATCGAGGATCCCCCCTTCTTCGTCTTCAATATCTATTCCATATCGAACTAAAATTAGCATGATTTCGCTTTGTGCCGGGGTCGTGATCGGATTACACTCGAAGGATTTCCTCCCATGGATTTGCGCATGTCGATTCGATCGTTCCCCACCTTTCTTTGAAAAAATTCCCGTTAAAATGCAATAAATCGGGCAATCTATCGTCACGATATCGAATCGCAAAACGAATTTTTCGCCCGGGGCACAGGAGTTTCCGTTCAAACGGTGAAGGCGCGAAATTCGAATCTCGCGAATCGTTTTTCGATGCGAAATCGATTCTCGCGATAAATGCATTTTGTGCAAGAGATTGATATGAAATGCAAGATTAAGAGAATAATAATTCTCGAGTCTTTCGTTGCCGTTGCGAGTGCGAAATCGATGACGTGTAAATGCTGATAAAAAGGAATTATAAAACGTATGCATAATTCCGGGCAGTTGTTGAACGATGATCTTAAGATTAAAAAAAATATTGGTCGATAAAAAATCTTAAAAATATTGAATAACATTAGTATTAAAAAAATGAAAAAAGTTAAAAAAAAAAAAAAAACAATTTATCTAAATCGTATTATTAGAAACGAATGAGAAGAAAGTTCAAGGATGATGCGATTGCGAGCGAGTCTTCTTAACCAATTCTAAAATTGGACGAGTATTATCATAAAAATATTAGCCATATAAATTGCTAACATGTGTGTTTATCAAGCCACAAAAGCACGATTCATTTTTCATTCTCTTGCAATCTGTTTTAGTCTGACAGGGGAAAGAATTCCTCGCGGAATCGTAGGGTCAAAGTTCATATTAGCACGTTAAATAATTTAACGCGGATAAATATTTACTTTGAAACATTAAATAAATATAAAAAGACAAAAGTAAAAAATAACAAACACGGATAAAGAAACATAAACGCATAACATATTATTCCATACACTCCTAT